ATTTAAGCACTACCAAAGGCAAATATTCACTTACCACGATTTTCGAGTTCGCTTCGTACACCCAGAGCCACGCAAAAATCAAAATATCAATCATACTCAAATGACTTTTTTCAAACCAGGTACTCTTTCTGATCGAACACTTCGCATAGTGACCATCTGAACCTTTCTTCCTACAAACCCATTCAAATCCATTTAAACGGTTTTTTCGTTCGACTAAACGCATATCCTTCCTACATACAGGACACTTATAATGGCTACTAAGTAAACCTTCATTTACGCACCAGTCCATTAAAAGCTCTTTTCCCCTTTCGCTCCAAATCATACAGAAACTTCAAATTAATCTTACTACATTCGGCCATTCTACCGTCTAAAGAATCAAACCAACACACACCACAAAAACGCTTACAAAACATCCCATGATTCAAAATTTCTCAGAATCATGCACCCGATTACGTCACAATAGGGTGTCCATAACATTCAACTACTCAGGCTACCATAAATGAAACAATAACTTGGCGATAAATCAAACAACAATTTCGCCATAATACAAGGGGTACCTTAAAGTCTACTCTACCCGAACTTAGTTATCATCAAGCTCGCTTTCAAAAAATACCAAATTAAGACTACGCACCTGATAGCAAAAGTAAATAGCATCATTACAAAATTAGAAATATATAGATCAGAACTATGCCAAATTCAAAATTAATAATTCGATAAAATGATATAATCAGAGCTATAAACTATAGAATTGTGTTTCCTGTTTCTACGAACCTAATTTTTTACCCTGCTGTTAATAAAACTCTGTGACGGATAATGGCAATAATTAACTGTATTAAGAAAATGAATACTCTCTGTATAACATATATGCAGATTTCAGTGCATTACCTAAATGTAAACAGCGTTGGTGTCCTGCGACAAGCTGACCAGTTGTCCAGGCTAAGGTGCATAAGCATCCCGGAGTACACGGTCTAGGAAGCAGCTATCAAGGCACTGCCAGCCATGGCTCTCTAAGGGCTGTTTGTGCCGAATTTATTGAGTTTATATTAGTTTAAACAGCACTGGTTAATGCAGCATGATTACAGTCAATAGTAAGACATGAATATTTTTTTCCAGTTAACCTTTTTGTAAAACAAAACCATTTCATCGGTAGCTTTTAGCATTATGAAAGAAGTGTCTCAGTTGAAGATCCAAGAATAGATATCGACAAATTCCAATAGCGTACAAGTTCAAAAAGCATAAAAAACATTGATGAGTAAATACAGAGGAGAAAGCTAAGCGAAAGAAGAAGAGAAAAGTTAATAGTTCTATGTCAGATGAATAGAATAGGAAGTATTTTTTATAGAGATAGCTATCAATTCTACAAAAGAAACTCTTAACGTTCTTGAAGATACTTAGGATAAACTCTTAACGTTCTTGAAGATACTTAGGATAGATCAGACGACAACACAAAACGAAAACACCTCAGAAAGAAATTAACTCCGTTAATGATCGTTGTTTTCTGTGTTACTGAAATAAATGAAGAAAACAAACTCATTTTTGTTTTAATTTTTTTCATGAAATGTCTAAATCCATTATTTAGCACATTTATAGGCTTAGCAATGGTATTTCGTTGCAAAACAGAACGAATTACATATCTTTTCATATCAAAACTTTTGGTTGCTCTAACGTCACAGATTTTAAGAATAGCTGCTCTTTTTATTTTTATTATTTCAGTTCAAATTTTCATATGTTCCATTACTTCTGTTTTACACGTTTTTTTTTTTTTTTTTTTTTTTTTTTGGACTCGGTTGACTTAGATTGGCATTACCATTATTAGATTTTTAAGCTTTACTTCTTATTTATGAATTTGTTGCATTATTGTTTTTGGTACTCGTCTGCTATCGGGACCAGATTCAGAAATGTAGGTATGTATGCACGTGCACAGACCCACATACATAACTACATACATATATACATGAACAAATACATAAATGTTTCTGAATCCGGCCCTAATAACAGAACAGTAACCTGTTTTTTTTTTTTTTTTTTTTTTTAGTCCAAAGGGATTTGAATCCCGAAGGACTATTAGTTTCGTTTTGGCATTTTGCGTCGGACGGATAAATGTCGGTTCACTTTTCAAACTGTTGCCAGAAAATGTTAGAGTCCTGCATTATATTTGAAGAAATTAAATAATGAAAATCTGCGTAAATGTATGTATATTTCTCACATTGTCATAAAATAACGGTACATAGAGTCATCGAATTTTGAATAACGTAATCCTCCAACGAATATGAGCATGTGGAAGACCAAATTTGAAATTTGAAATTTGTTTTATGATCGATTTCCTATTTTTTAAAACTTTGACGAATTTTTGATTAACAAACTCAAGGATTTCAAAGCGAGCAATGGCAACGTTGTGCAGAAAAAACATTTTTATCTCCAGCGCGTGAGTCTCTGTATCGGAAATTCTAAAGATATGCTCGTTTTAAAACTATTTTGCGATATTGCTGTTGCACTGGATCTTATGGTTTAAGTGCGAGGAACATGATATTTAATAAAGAAAGGTAACACACAAAATGTTAAAAAACGTCCCTTTGGACGTAATTTAAAATCTGAAACATTTCAGATTTTTTTTTTTTTTTCAACTTTTTAACTTGACATATGTGGATTCAAAATATTTGCATATAACATTGTTTTTCATGTGTTGGAGTGCTATTATTTGCATATTTTGTTTTGTTTTTTGGACTCGATCAGCTCAAAATAAAAATATTTAAAAATTTGTTTATGTTTTTGATGCCATAATTTCCTTCGGCCTGTAGGGGTTGGACTAACAAAGACACAGATTATTTTTAATTATTATTTTACATTTTAAACTTTAATTGGTGTTTTTGTTGATTCAAACCAGCTGATTAGTTCTCCTTTCCCTGACGACGATGCAGCGAAGGACTTTAATTCTTTATTTCATTTTTGGTTTGGACAAGTTTCGTTTCCTTTTTCTTGCAGTTTGACAGTGTGCTTCAGGTTTTCAGTTTTCGCTTTCTAGGTTTTTATATATTTTTATTCCGAATTGAATATGAATTTCGAATCGAAAATTCGTCACATATTAATTCGTATATATGCGCAATTTCATTTATTAACATGATGTGTGTGTATAGGGCATTTTGGGCATATGGGACAGGCATTTTTTTACCTGGCCCATATGCCCTTTTTAAAATTTTACTCCTTCCTGTTCAAGAGTTCGTGAAAGAGCGGACGTAAAATTAAAAATAATGGATGGTCCTCTGCAAGGCGAGCTTAAAAATGATGGAAAGATCTACACAAGAAATGTTGTGTATAAAGAGATCTTTGACATGTGAATTAACATTTCATTATTTAAATCACCTTCATTGATTGAGCTAGCGGTGGGCTCTTAAGAAATGTACCGCCAGTGGTTTCCTTCATTGCACTCTACTTTAAGCAATTAAGCAAGTAGAAAGCGGAAACCCCCTGGGCAGTAAGCAAAGGGGCGTCCTTGCCGCTTGCCCTGGGTAATTCAGGTTAGATTAGCAGACACCTTTGCACAAATCATTTTAATTACAATTTATAATATCTAGAACAGCGATGCATGGCCATTCGAGTTAAAAGTTAAATTATTAACGAATTTGGTCAACTGAATAAGATATACAACTGAGCATTCACTCCTTTACCTATTATAATTTTTCAAAATAAAATGTAATTTTATTACTAAAGATAATTTTTTAAAGACGTAATTTTGATACACATACTAATTTTGATAAAAATATGTATGGCATTTTCAACAGATGTAATCTCTCGACAACTCATACATGAAAATGTTAACGATACGATTCTTATCATCGTGGTCAAAGTTTCTTCCTCTCCTTCCCGGAGATCGGAGATCATCATTCGTTAAGTGGTGTTCGATACGAAGGCCTTTACCACTACATGTTTACCATTTCCCTAAGGACCTGTAAAAGTTCGTTAAATTCTATAAAAATGGAAAAATCCTGTGCACTTATAATAAAAGTGCCGGAAGTCTTCAGTAGTGAAGAAGTTGATCAGGCGTAGCGCCATCTATCGGCCACAGATGAAGTCTTTGTTGGTTAAGTAATAATAGCAACTAATAACTTTGGCATATCTTTTAGACATTAAGATCGCTGGAGTGCTCCCCACCCACCTGATCACGAAGTGATCTTAAGATCTTAAAGGGGCACCCATAACTTTTATGCATTATCGTAGATTTTGACACAGTATCGTACAGTAAAAATAGAAAATAATATATACAAGTCCCAGAAATTTTTGTGCTTTAGTCTAAGGCGAAAGTACCTATATCTTAATACTACTCATTGGGAAGAAGACTGTCACGTGATATACGAATTTAATGATAATAACGTCAGTAGCTTTGATACCCTCTCCTACCCAATAGTATTTTCGAAACAATTGAATTACAGAATTACAGTTTCATCCGTGTTGTGGTTTATCTTATTTGAAAAAGTCTAAAAAAATATCCTACCAATTTAACCCCAGAACAGCCGAGAGATGGCAGCACATGATTACAGACCACAAAATTCTATCCCAAGATTCTCAAGGAAAGAGCAGTCGTCGAACGCGCGCGATTGTGCACGTGTGTAGTTTGGAGGTGAAGATGAAATAAAAATTAAGTTTGAAATGTTGAATCTAATTTGATCTTCCTAAATAATTATCATAGATTCTTAACCGCATTAATTTTTAAAATGTCTGTTTAAAAAAATATCATTACAAATTATGTATCTAAATTACGTGGAAATGATTATCATCAATTACTTTACATTCATTGATACATTAGAAGTATTATATAACTGATGAATTTCTCATTTGCTTATAATAGATAATTTTTGGTCTACATTATCTATACTTAAGTTGATTTCGCTTTTAAACAAGTTTTCAGAAGCTTACATAACACACAAGAAATCTTTCCACCTAGCTTCTACAGATCATTGTAACAAATGCTAATCAAAATAGTCTGGCTTTGCAAGTATACTTACATATTTCACACTGGACAGAAGAGATGGCGGATCTTTGCTTTCGTCGGCAATGTTAACACGCAGTTTCTTGTCCTTGATTATCAGTGATAAGTGCTGCCATCTATCGTTAATGATTGCAACTATACTATATTCGCATGCTCAAACTAGATAATTGATTTTTTTATTTTCCTATAGAAGCTTCTCCGCTTGTTTAACTTAAATTGTAATAATATATTTCGTAAGTATCTGCAAGTGATCTATTGTGATCGTAAGATTTTGTGTTTAAGTAATTTAGGAGCTTTAGAATTTATAATATTTAATAAACTAGTCCTACTTGTTGCAATACACAAGAAACAAAATCAAAAGAAAAAAAAAAAAAAAGCTATAAACTTCCTTTTTCTCATAAAATCAATTTTTCAGTATCAGTTATGATGAAGCTGGTTTTATGTTGGGGAATGTAAATTAATTGGATAATTAGTAATACTATTATATATAACTATATGCAGAATATGATTTTACCTGATCCATCATATTTAATAAAAAAAACTGTTTAAATGAGAAAAAAAGTATTTTTTCCTTTAATTAAATGCAAATTGGCGTTATTTAAAATAATATGCCTTATACTTCCTTAAATAGTCTGATTCAGTTTTTATACTTCTTATTCTATCATTTCTAATTTATTTAGAAATCCATATATTTCATTTCTGCCAAAATATTTCTTTCATTTTACTAAACATTCCTAAACAGCATAATTTTGCAATATAGCGTGAATTTTGGTAAACATTAGTTATAATTTACTTACGTTTCTCATCCCTTCGATACAATATTCTAATCAGGTGTACAGCCATTTTTTTTTTTTTTTTTTTTTTTTTTTTTTTTCTGCATAAGTTCCTCCACTTGTTTAAGTTAAATTATAATAAAATATTCCGGTAAGTATCTACGAGTATTCTTTTGTTATCGTGACATTTTGTATTTAAGTAACTTAGGCGCCTCCGAATTTAAATTATTTATTTTATTTTATTTATTTATTTATTTGAATAGCTAGAGCCTACCCCAACAGCACGGCACGTCGCTTCAACATTGCAAACGTGTCGCATTCTGACGACCTCAGTGTCGTAGTAACGTTGTAGGAATGGCTTAATGTCCGCTTTTTGCGACACATTGCGACGTTGATGTGAAGTCAAATTGGGACTTTGATGTGAAGTCACATTGTGACATTGCTGTGATGTCATGCTGAGACTTTGTTGTGAAGTTACATTGTAGTATTGTAGTGAAAACACACTGCGACATTCATGTAACAACTCATTTCGACTTAATATAAAGCCATAGAGTGACATGAATGCAGCATAATAAAGTGCCATGAATATAATGTCACTAAGGATGTAAATAGATGTCATGCAACACTGGATTGCTTTCTAAATGATTAGAGGGATGAACTCTAATGACTAGAGTGAGAACAGGTAACTACCACAATGTTTTAATGATGCAGTAAGGTATTATACTTTTCAAGGTATTAAAATAATTCCGTGATATTCGAAATTTTTAAATAATAGAAAATATCCAATATAATCATTTGAAATTTCCTCATCTTACTGAGGTTGTATCTCACTCTATTAAGGTTTCATAACGTATCTGTATAAACTAGAGTGTACAGATAATGCAGAATGTATTACAATATATATGATGCAAAAGTGATCTGTGGTCATTTCCTTACCGTATTAAATTGCATAAGCTATGCATACAAATTGCATATACTTTTGAGCATAAGCTATCCAGAAGCTACATAATTTTGCTTTCATTCTTTAGAATTTACTATTTGAAGACAGTTCATATTTTTCCCAAATATCTAAATTGTATTAAAAAATCTTAATTCTTATTATAACTTATTAAAAATTTAATTTTATTTTTAATTTAACACCTTCTTCCCCCATCTTTCAAAATAGAAATATTTCAAAAATATATTCTTTGGCTTGCAGTGTTTATAATAACTATATTTCTTAAATTTCTTTTTTTTTTTTCCTTAATTGCTTTCCTTCCAGAAAAAGAGCTAAATTATTTTGATAACTGGATGAAAGAAAAACCGTTTTAGTGCTATATTTTATAGGACATTTACCTATTTTATTATCTTATTATATACCGAAATGTTTCGTTTTGAATTAAAAGCTTTTATAAATCAAACAATCACAAACTCCAAATTAGTTAACTACAATCTTCGTTTCCAAATTAGCGATTTGTTGCTTAATCTTAATGGACAAATAGTTATGGGTATAAAAGTGAGTAGCTGCGAAACGTTGTTATGGAAACTATATTACAGGTAATAAATATTTATACTTAGTTATATTAGTTATACAAAACGGACATTCTCTTTCACCATTATTACTCCATTGACAAATTACAATTTTGCGAGATTTTTAAGCTACAAATTTAAAATAGCTCTCTTACACTGCACACCTTCAATATATTTAAATAATTGCATTACGGTAAAAATATCGTATTTTTTCATTTGATAATTAATGTGAATCATTTGTTCTCAATATTTCAGCATTTCCTAAACGCATTTTTCTGTTCTCTTAACAAATAGAGTTATTATGCAAAAGCATAACAAATTTGCATGATTTAATTATTCCAGTTCATGAAACAATTATTGTTACCAAAGCTGGCTTACGGAAAATCTGTATTACTCACTTTTGAGAATATATGTTACCGTGAAAGACCGAAATTGGAGAATGTCGACTTTCACCGGAGAATGTCAACATTCACCAAATACGTTGGTGAAACATCGAGTATTGCATTACATTCTTGTACATTCGGACCCTCACCGGTGTATGTCGACAATCACAGATATGCTCTGGTGTAGATCGATAAGAGAGGAGTATATGTACACGCTGCCATTGCAAAAGGAAGTGTTTCACAAATAAATGCAGTTGTAAAAGCAAGGGCCTCTTGCGCAATTCAAAGTGTCATTATAGTTTAAGTTGTTGCAATAAATACGATTTGAATCACATAATTTAGTAAGTTTTTAACTTCTATTATTTTCCTTTCTCATTTTGAATGTACTGTATGTATTAAGTTCTTATGTTCTTAAGTTATTATTTTAAGTCTCAAGTGCGTTTGTTCGCGACTGCATTACGGAGAAGAAAATATAATATTCTTATATATTCAACATTCACCATTAGTATGCGGGAATGTCGACATTGACCGGTGTAAGTAAGAAATAAGAGTATTTGGAAAATATTTCGCACATACACAAAGCGACTATGTGAATGTTGACATTCACCGGTCAATGTCGATAATTCGCCATACAAGTCGAGGCGCATTGTCATCTTTTATCTTTAGAATGTAGCTAGATGTGTAAGATGTGTCTTGTCAAGTGAATTGTCCTTCGTTATAATGCGTCAATAAAGGATTAAAGCCTAAGTAATTTTCAGTTTCTCTCTTTAGATGCTCAGAAGATCAAGAACCAGGTAAGATCTATTATTTATATCCGATTTTGTTTTAATCCTAATCTGAAGAAACAGAAAAAATGGCCAACAGCAGCTCTTGATTTAAAATGCTGACATTAACGAAAATTTTTCTACATACGATGAATGACGTCACATGCACTCGCGTGCTTTCTCTTCAACGTCAGAATATGATCTTGATTTTTATCTCCAGCAAGCAAGACTGTTGACACTCGGAAAAATGAGTGAGCAAATTAGCGTTTTCAGAGTTTTTTTAATTAATACCTCTTCTGATTAAAGCCGCGAGAATGGTCAAAATGGTTTTCCACGAATTTTTGGAATCCGGAGGTATCCCTCTCGAATATCAACTCTCCGCCGTTCCGGAGATTATGTTACAAACAAACAAACTAACAGATAGACGCGCACAGATTTTAATAGCATAGATTAGCCTGTCCTCACATCTGAACAAAGAAATATATCACCGATATAACGAAAATCATGCAGCATAACTGTATTTAATTCTTTACAATATTATTTCAGGCAACGCAATGGATTGGGAGAATAACGAAATTAACGAAGAAGATCCCGAGGAAGCTTTACTGGAACTGAATAGAATGCTAAGAAACAGACCACTAACCAGTTATCGGGGATTCCTTGCAAAATATGAAAGTATCGCTGCTTCTTTCAGTTACATTTTAATTTGTATCTTTAACTTTTTTTATCTTTTTAAACTTTTAACATTTTTATCTTTTTAACTTTTAACTTTCTTATCTTTTTAACTTCTTTTTTATCTTTTAAACTTTTTTATCTTTTTAAAACTCATTTTAACATTCTGTATCTTTTTTAGCATTCTAATTAAAGTGATTAAAATTGTATGTTGATGTTTGGGTTCCGGTATGTCTCTTTTCGGGATCGAATCATCTCTTTCAGAAAAATGCACTTTAACTATACACAGAAGAAAAAAAAAATCATCCACAGTTAAGGGAAGACTTGACATTTAGATTGACTTATGGTTGTTGCTTACATTTTGGACGCTTAATTTGTCTGGGCTTAGGAACCTGGCCCTGCGCTGGCTTTTCTCCGCCCACTGCAAACTCTGAAACTTCTGAAGCGGCGAGTTTTGCATTAAAAATCGTCGCTACACTAAGCCAAAATAACAAGTCAAAGAATTGCTCAAACTCGGTATCCATGTACAAGTCGACCTCTGTTTTCACTTACAAAAAGTCAGAGAATTACGCAAACTCGGCATTGCGCACTAACTTGACTTTGTCCATGTACACATAAATCTATTCTCACTTAAAACCGAAGGAGCACCAAATTCTGCACTAGAGCCAAACAAAAAATATATAATCTCAGTAAACTGCATTTAAAATCAAACAATGAAGTAACATAAAAACAACGAAGTAACATACGCACTACACAAAGAAAATATCTCTTTACTTTATATAGAAATTTCTGTGTCTGTGGCACACAAAATTCCTTAACAGTATCCACAATCTTTCCTCTAACCATGAACGCTTTATATGGTGACCATTTGAACCTTTCTTGAGACAAACCCATTCAAAGCCATCTGAACGATTTTTACATTCGGACCATACGCCTTTCCTTCTTACAAACAGAACACTTATTATTCCGTTGAATTACATCCAAAACAAAGTTTCTTTTCTTGTCCTCAATCACTTGAAAAATAAATAAATAAATAAATAAAAATAAAAACACAACCCTACCGCCCTCTCGTTCTGTACCACCAAAAACCCACTTTATCACCGGCAACCATTTTTACTATGCAAGGCACACAATACGTGACATGCTTCCTAACTGACATCCAACAAATATTTTCCCACCAGTCAAATTCACCGCAATCACGCAACCAATTACGTCATAATAGGCTTTCATACCATTCAAATACTCAGGTTACCATAACTGAAACAACAACTTGGCGATAATCCAAGGGGCACCCTTAAATATAGGCTAACCAAAGTTTGCATGTTTATTAAAAAGATATTTCCATATGGTATCTGAAAATTTAAGAATGGAGCAGTATGTTTTTCTCATTTTAAAAAACAAGAAATAAAATGAAGCATTCATCCTTTTTACTTCCTTGTACAATGTAAAGGATGTATTGTAGTCACGAAAAATTCCGGGTAACATATTTCAACGAAAATATACATTTTGCCCGCTATCGAATGCAATTAAACGATGTTTCTGCTTGACGTCTGTACTTAAGGATAAAATAAAGCACCTTTTTTTCCCCAAACGAATTATAAACCTGATTTAAAATGGTCTCAGAAGAGTTTTTTTTTTTTTTTTTTTTTTTTTTGGCGTACACATGTACGTACGTTCGTATGTATGTATGTAACTCGCATAACTGATAAACGAGTAGCCTCAGAATGTTGAAATTTTCTACGTATTACTGCTATAACATGTATTTGTTCACCTTCCATTTTGGTTGCAATTGGCCGCGAATACTAGGTTTAAAAAGTGTCAACATCTGAGACCTTTGAGAATGAAGGATATAGTGGGAACAACAATCTAATACAAATCTCATATAGTCTTCAAATTTCATTTTAAAGAACTACCATCTTTTATTACAGATAGACCTAGACTTTTTATAATCGCATATCCACACTTTGACTGGTACAAGTTACATAAATTTACCAAAACAACAACCTTGTTTTCGGCTCAGCTTTGGTCAAGATCTCAATCGATTTTGAGGGCAAATAGGTAGAGGTCCTTTTTCATCAGGAGCAAAAAATCTGCAAGGCTCTGCAACGGCTGCAGTGTTACTCGGCTCAGGGAGCACAGTTTTATTTACTTATATATGTTGGTAAATTGTGCATTTTATACATGAACTGTGTTGTTTTATCTTCTGGTTAATGTTTTTTATGCCTTTAGTTAATCTGCATGCAATAGTTGTAGATTTATTAACAATTTAAAAGTTGTTTATGTGCGGCTAAGTCTAATTTTTTTAATCATAGCAGGCATATTTGTATCATTTAGGGCTTCCAATAGCTCGCCTTTTGTGATATCCTTTGGGATATCGTAAATTATTATTCTAGGAGACCGTTTTAATGGTCGTACTATTTGGAGCTCCTCCTTCAATTCTGGTGCAGAACTGATTTCTTTTTCGAGTACTCTAAGTCATTTTCTTTGTTCGTTTCAATTAATAGTCCTCCCTTTGAAACCTGTTTAACTCGTTTAACTCCGATGTGGAGTTTTGAAGGATCAATGGTCTTTAGCACTTTTTTCTTGAGTGATTCAGTTTTATTCCCTTCCTTTGTGGGATAAAGGATGGTAATAAATTGCTTTTCTTGATCTAGAACGATCTCGTGTTGGGCGTTTTAGAACGTCCGCATATGAGTCCTTTTCTCTTTCTTTATTTGCTGAGGCTTGTAGTTGGCCTTCTAATTGGGCCATCTCGACACATAGCTCCGTGAGTAAATTGAACATCAGTTGGAACTGATGCCTAATATCTGCGGCCACATTTCTATTTAGTCCACTGGCCTTATTTTTTAGAATAGTTTCAGGGTTGGCTATATAAGCCTGTCCTTCTTTAAGAATGTCTTTTGAATCCATGATGATGGATTGATCATTAGAATTATGCAAATATTATAAAGTTCGAATTCTAGGGTGGCAACTGACTAGAGGATTTTGGCTTCCCTGCTCCGGGAACTTAAGCCCCCTACAGGTCTACTCCCCCTTTGGGCACACATGGAGGTAGGAAAGGGAGGAGGGGCCATTCCGCGCTAGAAGTGAAGCACTGCTTTGAAGCTTGGGTCACCAGACGGGGTGTTTTTTGTTTACATTCAGAAGCTCGCTTGACAAAATTCTTGATGAAAATGATTCTGATCACGACAGTTCCATAGAAATCGAAAAAGGGACACTCTCGCATGAAAGAAACATTCATAGTGTGATGGATAATAGTTTACTGACAGTATAGTTTACTGACATTTACGCAAAAATCACATCTTGGTTATTTTTCGATAACTAACAACAGCGATTTTGATTATGAATTTGTTTTATAAAATTTTAAGCTGTTGCACTACAAAAATATAGATTTTAAGAAAATTGCTAAAAGAGATCTGCCAAAATTTATTTTCTAGAAGATTTGAAAAGTTTGAAACTTCATGGCTAAATGTAAATATAAAATTATGTATGTTAAAATACTTGTAATTAGACACATAGGTCAGATTAAGTTTTTATTAAATAGAGTAACGCATGCAAGGGCTATCTGCCCCTAGGCCTGGGGGGGGGGGGGGGGGGGGGGGGGGGGGGGGGGAGGCCGGGGGGGGGAGGGGGGGGGGGGGGGGGGGGGGGGGGGGGGGGGGGGGGGGGGGGGGGGGGGGGGGGTGGGGGGGGGGTCGGGGGGGGGGGGGGGGGGGGGGGGGGTGGGGGGGGGGGGGGGGGGGGGGGGGGGGGGGGGGGGGGGGGGGGGGGGGGGGGGGGGGGGGGGGAGGGGGGGGGGGGGGGGGGGGGGGGGGGGGGTGGGGGGGATTTTGAAGAAAAACTGACCTTTGAGTGGGTATTAAAAATAATACTTATAATTTTCATTCAAATTATATTCATATATATTTTTTATGTAAAACTTTCGGGTGTATGCTAAATTAGTGTGTAAATTACTTTACACGAAAAATATAGTGAATGCACAGAAATTAAAGATTTGCACATGCCGGAAATGATAAATAGGAAATATGTATGGGTATTTATGCATGTGCTTGCAAAAAGCATGTATCTGCCTTTGACAAAATACTTAAATATTCATTAAATTATTTATAAATGTATTTGAAATGAGAAGAATTATTCACTTATAAACAACTGTGATAGTACTGTGAAGAAATCTAATGATTAAATGTATCTAATTTATAATGATTATAAATGTTATCTAAATATATAATAACCTTAATATTGAATTGTAAACATAAACTGAAATCCTGTGACAAATACGTTATAAAACTATTTAAGCAAGAATTGTTCGTATTGGAAAGCAATCTGTTAAAAGGTATTGTAAAGCAAATGCTATGAGATGCGCACTTAAGAACGTAATAAAGAGTTTTGGAATATGTATTGTTGAAATGAAGGGTAAAAAAAAAAAAAATCTGATAAGTATAATTAAAAGAATTATTCCCTTTACATTTTATAATAACTCAGTACAAGTTTTAAATAATACTTTAAAAAAAAAAAAAAAAAAAAAAAAAAAAAAAAAAAACTTATTTTATTCCCCTTTCAGAAATGTTCAGAGAAAGTCAAATACTATTTTCCCAATATTCTCTAATTTAAAATTAACCGAATAGAGCATTTATTATAAATTGACTTACATTTTTCGATTCAAAAGAAGCCAAAAAATCATGTCATATTTAAGAAAGTATTTAGGAAGAAGCTCTATAAATAGAAAAGAAATAATGCATAATTTTAATATTAATAATACAATAAACTTTGATCTTAATTTTGTACCTTAACCGAATAAAATCGAATTACCTTAATTTTTTGTTTTTTCTAATGTAATTAACGAAAACTTGTGAAAATATTTCATTCAAATTAAACCATTCTGAGAAAAGTATAGCATTTAATTCCGTTCAGAATGAAATGTTGTTTAAAAATATGTTGTTTTTCACATACTTAGGACTCTGAAGTGTTGTAGAAAAAGAAAATATATACATTTATATGTATATTTGCGACGTAATTACAAAATATTTACACCCGAACGCGTCAAATCCCATAGAACTCAATGGTAAATGACCCAATGTTTTGGTCACCACGTAGGGATCGCCGGTGCTTCAGAGCAGGGTACGGGGAAACTTGTTTAGGGCGACTCCTTCTTACTTCCTACCTCCATGTGGGCACATCGTGGAGGTTCAACCTTCACTATTACCCTCCAGGAGAGCAGCGCACCACCTGGAGAAAAAACCCCAGGCAGCACCGGTCGTCTAATGCTCCTACCAGTCGCTTGGGCGAGCCCGTCGCAGCGGGACATTACCCAGCGACCCCGGGGGAGACCCCCGGGTTACTGGTGGCAACTGACTGGGTACCCTGAGGTTCACACCATGTCAGTTAAGTAGTAGGCTCATAAAGCTCAGGATTTCGACCTTCTGGAAAGCGGGACCCCCCCGACCACGCCAAGGTACCCGAGCTACTGGGAAAGCCCAAGAAACTGAGAATAAAATGAATTATAATCGCAAAATTACGATTTTATTCACCAATCATAATATCAATCGCATTTCTAATCGTATTTCTAATCGCTTTCCCCGGGGGGGTCTTATATATTTGAAACGTAAAAGAATAGTGAATTAAGTCTTTCTGCAACTTAAGTGTCTTTTTGCCGAGTGGGGCCAGGAAACTTACAGTTTTGTGCACCGCTAAAGCTGTCTGCTGGCCGAAATGCTTGTGTTTGCTTAGAAATTGTAATTTTAATTGTAAAAATTGTTTTTAATTGTTTTAACTGCATTTGGTGTTTTATGTTTTTCTATATTTTATAATTTTTAGTGGAGATATTTTGAGTTTTTATGTGTTTTTGCCTTGACGCGAAGTGGCAACTGAATTAATTGAATGAGAAATATATCCCTAATGAAATTCGAGGAAATAATTTTTAGTGAAAAGCCGTAAAAAATGCGTATAATTTAGTATTCCATATAAAAACGGCATGTGATGTACACATGAGATTTTTTTTTTTCATATTACTATGAATTAATATTGCTTAATCAAGAACTTTTTTTTTTGGTTTTTAATATGGCTATTGTTGCAGTGCTTATTTTTGCATATTATCTTTTTTAGTGCATCTTTTTTATATTGCCTTTTTTTTATCTTTTTTTTATCTTTTATCCTTTTTATTTATCTGTTATCTTATCTTTTTTTTTATCTTATCTTTTTATCTTACCTTTTTTACTTTATCTTTTAAATCTTATCTTTTTTATTTTATCTTTTTTATCTTATGTTTTATCTTAAAAGCTCTCAAATTTTTGTTTTTGTTTTGCCTAATTAGAGTTGAAAGCAAGCTTACAAAGCTTTTGCGGCAGCTTGCCGCCTGGGAACACCGATCTGGCCTCTGGCGACACGGATCCCGTTTCGGACGCATATACCTGCTATGCATTAAATATACAAGATTCAAATCTGGTGTCTGCATGCTTATCACGTGTTTTTGAAATGAATGGTCACTTCCTGCACCTGCTGTTTCGCTTCACGCAGCGAAATCAAGATGAAGACGTATGTGTTAAAAATTTCATATATTATGAACTGTAATTTTGCTAGCAAGTAGGATGATTTAAGTGTGCTAAATGTGCTGGTATCAATCATGGAATTCAAAGGTTTTGAATTTCAATATTCTACGAAACTTCGTTTAATACTCATCAGATTTCTACCACTGTACCTCAGTTTTAAGGCAAGTTCTAGTTTTTTTCAGAGCATTTTAATTGTTTCTCATGCTGCATGGGACGCTTTTTAAACACCAGAATCTCCCATGCTGTGAGCGCATGTTTAGCACTCCAAAGAATCATTCGTTAATTCTAGGGATTTAATTAAAACTTAGCTAATTAATACTTACTTAATTAATGTAAGAGTAAAGAGCGTTACAGTAATTTGCTGAAAAAATGCATTATCATTTATTTATCAATGTACATAATGTAAAAAGGTACTTACATAAATCATTCATATAAAATATATGATTTCATAAAAATGCCACAATAGCGTGACATGTAAAGGCAAACAAATTTTATATTTTTCACTTTAAACTTCTAAATAAACAAGTTTCCCTGTTTGAAAAAATTATGTACTTCGTTTTTACCTGATACCTTATCTGTTAGAATACTCACGTTGCGGTTAGGATATGTCACTTGAATATGTCAAAGTAGACCACTTACTATCTGCTTGAAAGAAGGGATGCCTTCGTGGAGGACCGTCTAAGGGAAACTGACTCGTATTTGTGTTATACATTTTGAAAACCGACCATGCAGCCAGCCCCTTCATCTGGGATGCAACACGGGTCGAATAGCCTGTATTCAGTAGTCATAAACATTCGGTCAATAGTGTAATGCTGTGAGATCGTAAAAATGACGGGGGGGGGATCATTTTCAATAAATAGTTTTTGTAAACTGCTCGTAAAATTGGGGACACTTAGATGTTACATGTAAGAAACAGGAGTTAAGATTACTCATAGAAATTCAGCATTGCTGGTATTAATTTCGTGTAAGTTATGATGGCCTTCTGAAGTAACAGATAGAAATAAGAATCAAATATTCTTTTCCAGATTTTCCTTCTTAAGAAAGACAAGGCTCATTCCGATTTTCCTTCTTTCTTTTTAATTTATGATATTTTATGGCTGCATGTGCGTAAGAACAACCCTGACTTTCCGTGTAAAAAGTAATTTCCGTTTTCGAATACTATTTTAATATTTATTTATTTCAAAATTAAAAAAAAAAAAGGAAAAGTAAACAAGAATTGTGTTCTTCTTAGTATTCTGTTAAGTCATGACATAGTCAGTGATGGAGATCTATTTTTATGTTACACTGGACAAAGAGAATTTGTTTCTTAAATCTTCGGTAGGTTTTATAATTCTAACATTTTATCAATACTAATGGTTTCAAAATTTGATTTAGCATAAAATATTTAACTCTGCGTACCCTAGAATTCCTGACGTCTCTTGCTAAACGTGATGTTCTCTCGAAAACAAGTGAATTTTTTTTTTCACAAAATATTAGGAATTTCATTGTTCACAAGAGTTTAATTGCAATCGCAGCACAATTAAACATTTTCTAGCTGCTATTAGTTCTTTAGATTAGCCAAAGAAGATTAAGCTAATCTACCTAACCTGAAACATATATGCTACCAAATACCCATAGTTTCATAATTAGATTTCTAAGTATTAATCTGCTAATTAATGCTACGAATTCAATGTAAACTCTTGAAAGAGAGACTATGAGTCGAAGACATTTATAATAAAGTTATGTTAGAATGGAATATTTAGATAATTGTTACATAAAGCTCACGTAATTAGCTGAAACACAAGCTAAGTTCATTCAAAAATAATTTTGATTTAGTTCATTATTTGAGGTAATTTAAAGTAATTTTTAAACTTTTCTACTGTAAAACTTTACAAGTGCTCAGTACGATTAAAATTTTTTTAACTTTGCTAATGTTCAGTACAATTAAAAGTTATTTTTAAACTTTTAATCGTACTGATCATTAGCAAATTAGTGCCGAGAGCGATTAAAATTTTTTAATCTTTACTAATGCTCAGTACAATTAAAATTTAGTTTTAAACTTTGCTAGTGCTCAGTACGATTAAACTTTTTTAAACTTTACTAATGCTCAGTACAATTAAAATTTAGTTTTAAACTTTACTAGTGCTCAGTACGATTAAATTTTTTTAACTTTGCTAATGTTCAGTACGATTAAAAGTTAGTTTTAAACTTTTAATCGTACTAAACATTAGCAAATTAGTGCTGAGAGCGATTAAAATTTTTTAATCTTTACTAATGCTCAGTACGATTAAAATTTAGTTTTAAACTTTGCTAGTGCTCAGTACGATTAAATTTTTTAACTTTTACTAATGCTCAGTACGATTAAAATTTAGTTTTAAACTTTACTAGTGCTCAGTACGATTAAGTTTTTTAAACTTTACTCAACTCAGTACGATTAAAATGTAGTTTTAAACTTTACTAGTGCTCAGTACGATTAAAAGTTTATTTGAAAATTTTGAAGTCGTCACTCTGTCTTTGAGGAATTTAAAGGGAAAATTTTGCAAATAAAAAATGAACTGAAATGTTTTATGAATTGAAATAGTAACACTCAGAAGTATATAGTCATATACAACGTGTTTCAAAAAGAATATACGTATTACAATGTGTTATTTTGTCCAAACTATCGACCACTGCGCCTCGGCTCGGCTATTGGCGAAACGAATACTTAGTCTAATGTATATTAATAGCCGCTAGATGTGAGTTGTCTTGTTGACTAGTTGTTCAACGCTACATGTGAGTTACTTGTTCACTTGTTTTGCGTGATAACCGTCACATGTTTAAAATGGGCATTCTGAAGCAGAAATTATTTTGTGTTCTCGAGTTTGACACCCTGTGACTTCTTCCTGTGGGGTTTCATTAAAGACAACGTTTATGTACCACCACTCCCACAAAACCTGGAAGAGGTGAAGAACCGCATCCGTACTGTCATAGCGTGGAGGTAGGAAGTTAGATGGAGTGTCCCTAAACCGGTTTCCCCATACCCTAGTTTGAAGCACTGGCATCCCTTCTTTGGTGACCAAAACATTGGGTTAATTTACCATTGAGTTCAATGGGTTTTGACACGATCGGATGTAAATATTTTGTAATTACGTCGTAAATATGCATATAAATGTACAGTAAGACCCCGCTTAACGCGAGGGATACGTTCCATCAAAGTAGAGCGTAATGCGAAACAGCGCTAAACGAGGCTATCTTTACATGTAAATATTGGGGTTAGGGGAAGATGGCTAGGAAATTCATTAGGTATTAAATTTAAAAAGTATGTTTTTTTTAATAAAAATAAAACCAAACATTTATTTCTTAAAGCCCAAATTAATACCACATTATTATTTCTTGCAAAAATAAAAACAAAATATAAATAACAAACGAATATTCTTAAAAAAAACAAATAAAATTCTAAGTCAGTCATATTTAGTTAGCCTTCCTCGTTTTCAGTGTTCTGCCTTTTTGTGACAAAAGCATCTAATGTCGTTTGCCTTTTTCTTTTGCGTTGTTTCTCTTAAAAGTTCTTCATAAACGGATAGAGCATCTCTAACACACCGCCTTACTTTTGAGCTCCTGTCAAAATTCGGATCATTTTCAATGAATTGATCCATTATTTCAGTTATGGTAGACAAACTCCTTTTTACAAACGCCATCGAAAGTTCTTTTTGCTCTTCTTCTGAATCACTGCTGTCAACATTTTTGTTTTCTTCTTGTTCAGTTAATTCCTTGAGCTCATCATTAGAAAAGACTAGCCGCTGCTTCTTGAATTATTTCTTCGACATCTTCCACATTTACCCCTTCAAAATATGTCTGTACAATACCGCACCAAACAAGAAATACAAGTACACTCTTTCGGCTATGTATTTGAAACCTATCGCTGCATAATATTTCGGGGAATCCCCGTATGCTGCGAGCGATTTCGTGGAATCCCCGGGTTGAAACAAAAGAGCGCTAAACCGAAACAGCGTTAAGCGGGGTCTTACTATATATATTTTCTTTTTCTATAATACTTCAGAGTCCTAAGTATATGAAAAGAATACATTTTTAAACAACATTTCATTCTGAACGGAATTAAATGCTATACTTTTCACAGAACAGTTTGCTCAGAATGATTTAACTTGAAATATTTTCAAAAGTTTTCGTTAACTGCATTAGAAAAAAAAAAATTAAGGTAATTTGATTTGATTCTGTTAACGATTACAAAAATTAAGATCAAAATTTATTGTATTATTAAAATTATGCATTATTACTTTTCTGTTTATAGAGCTTCTTCCTAAAATACTTTCTCAAATATGACATGATTTTTTAGCTTCTAAGGCATCTTTTAAATCGAAAACTGTCAGTCAGTTTATAATTAATGCTCTATTCGGCCCATTTCAAATAAGAGCACTTTTAATTTAATAGCGAAATACTTTAAATAGTGCTTAACTTTCTCTGAATATTTCTGAAAGGGAATAAAGTAAGGATTATTTTTTAAACATTATTTAAAACTTGTAACTGACTTATTTTAAAATGTAAGGGGAATAATTCTTTTAATTATACTTATTAGATTTTTTTCACTCATAATTTCAACAATACATATTCCAAAACTCTTCTTTATTACTTTCTTAAATACGCATCTCATAGAAATTGCTTTACAATACCTTTTAACAGATTGCTTTCCAGTACGAACAATTCTAGCTTAAATAGTTTTATAACGTATTTGTCAAGAGGATGTCAATTTATGTTTACAATTCAATGTTAAGGTTATTATATATTTAGATAATGTTTATAATCATTATAAATTTAGATACATTTAATAATTAGATTTCTTCACAGTAACTTTCACAGTTATTTATGAATGAATAAATTCTTCATTTCAAATACATTTATAAATAATTTAATAAATATTTACGCATTTTGTTAAAGGCAGGTACCCATACATATTTCATATTTTTCATTTCCGGCATGTGGAATTCTTTAATTTCTGTGTAGTCACTATATTTTTCGAGTAAAGTAAGTAATTTAGACTAATTTTAAAAAGTACATGTTACAATAATATGTGGATGTGAAAAAAAATTATTTTATTTAAAACATTTTGGCTTCTGGAACATAAAATAAAAGTAGCGAATACTGTATTAAGGGCATCGAAAAATGTATACAGTTTTAAAGGTACGGCGAGGTATTTTTCATTCTTTAAGCATAACGTTTTTGCTAAAATCTATATTTTTATAGTTCAACAGCTTAGAATTTTATAAAACAAATTCCAATGCCAATGATTTGCAATTTTCGGAGTGCCTATGGTTCAAAACCATGTACCTCCACATCAGAATTACTAAAAGTGAGCAGAAATAGGAAAAATTTGGCATAAGTGATTTACTTGATGCTCAATAGAGGGAGCCACAGGCTCGAGAAAATTTAGGGATAGAGATGAGAAAATAAAAACTTAAGTATCATAATTTTTTTATAAGTTTTTAGGTTTTTATAATTTTTTTTTGTATTTTATATTTTATACTTTTTTTGGTTTTTATAATTTTTGGGTTTTCATCCGCAGAGAACCCGTTGGCGCTTCGGGAAAGAACCCTTTGGCGCAGTTGCAGTTTTACTCGCCAATGAGCCGAGCCGTAAGCGTGATATTTTGTAAACGTGGTTTTTAGTGATGTAAATTCAAGTTAGCAGACAATGGTAGTAAAAATTCATAGATAATAAGTATGTAGATATGAAACTAACAGGTTAAACGTGATATACGAAAATAAATTTCTATTAAATTCAAGTTAGCACAGAAAACAATGTATTAAATTCATTTAAAAAATAACAATTAGTATTCTTATACTTACGTTTACAATATACTTATATGTATTTTCTCTAATTCATATAGAATACTAATATTTCTATTACAAATGTCTTTTTTCACTATTAAGTACTTTGCCTGTTGATTGATGTATTTCGGTAAGAGCCATGCCCATGTAATAAATTAATGAATGCATGACCTTTAATATATCCATTTTACATAGTTTTAAGTATTTTTTTTTTCAAGTTACTTGCATACAGCTTAAAGATTTTACGTTGAAACAAATACCTATCCTTTTTCATAATATATTTCACAATACAAATAACCTTCAACAGTAATCAAATTTTCTTCAGTAGCATTTTTAATAAAACTAGAACTTTATACATTTTAAAATTATCATAGGGGTTGGAAACCTCATGGTTCTGCGTGCTTACAGCTGTTAATAATTAAGAACATAACGTGAACAGCCATGTTACAAATTAGCATTCACACCCCTCCCGCCATAAATTTCTTCCTTTTGATCCCGAACTGACGACCCGAGAACCGGCATCTTTCGACGAAAACTTCTTTAATTATGCGAAAATATTTCTATCTATTCGTTGTTAAAAAATTCAGAAAAAATAATAATAAATATGAGAAAAATAAATATAAATCTCCAAATGCGAACAACGACAACCTTCGCATAAACGAATAGGATGAATTAGCTAGGTTACCAGGTTTGAACTATTATCGCCAAAGTTGGCGATGTTTACATTTACCGGGTTCTCTGCGGAAGTGCTTCCTAATTTTTTTTATACACAATACAAACACTAAAGCAAAAAGCGGATAGGAAAGAGTTTACGATTAATAGGCTCATTGGCATGTGGCTTGTGTAGGAGAGTGCAAATAATTAATGGGATCGCGATGAAAATATTCTTAGGCAGATATAGAATGTGCGGGAGATGTGATTCTTAAGTAAACAGATTGATAACTTTGTTTGAAGATCTTGGATTGCAGTTGTAGAAGATGAATAATTCACATCAAACAAATTCATAATCAAAATCGCTGTTGTTAATTATCGAAAAATAACCAAGATGTGATTTTTGCGTAAATGTCGCTAAACTATACAAATTGCTATTATCCGTGATACTAGGAATATGTCTTTCATGCGGAAGTGTCCCGTTTTTCGATTTGTATGGAACTGTGTGTCGAAATATTATCAGAGAGCTGTCAAGGGAGCTTCTGAATGTAAACAAAAAACACACCATCTGGTGACCGAAGCTTCGGAGCAGTGCTTCACTTCTAACGCCGATTTGGCCACTCCTTCCTTTCTTACCTCCATGTGTCATAGCATCAGTGACGACGGACATGCTTGCCCGATTATGGGAGGAATTTGAGTATCGATGTGATATCGTTCGTGTCTCTGTTGGAGGACATATTGAACATCTGTAATCTGAACTTGAGAGGTTCATACATGTGTGTGTGTAAAGTTTCATATTCGTATGTCATGCAGTTTAATAAATATATGCATTCCAAATACGTATATTCTGTTTGAAATACGCTGTACTTCAGATAATTCTACTGAATATCTCAACAGGCTCTTTTTTTCGAATTAGTCTTTTACTAATAATTGTTACAGGTACCGTTTTTTGTCGAAAGCATGTTTTGTGGACTTTACCAAGAGCCTTCTAAATTTTCTGCAATCCATTATTTTATTGAACATGCCAACAGAACAAGACTTACATTTGAGCAGGGTAAGAAGAAACCTTGATTATTTTCATAACCTCTTTAGAGAAAATCTTAGACCTTTTCACTTCCTTGTACGAAGTAAAAAAGGAAGTATTGTAATCGCGAAAAGTTTCAGGCAGCATATTTCAACGAAAATATCCCATTTGTATCTTACAAATGCAATTTAACGATGTATTTCCGTGATATCTATATGTAAGGACAGAATAAAACACTCTTTTCCTCCAAAAAAATTATAAAACTGCTTTAAAATGAATTCTGAAGACAATTTTTCGTGGCGTCTGTACGAACGTATGTACGTAAGTACGTGCGTACGTACGTACGTATCTCGCATAACTCAAAAACGAGTAGCCTCAGAACGTTGAAATTGTGTATATAGGACTGCTATAACATGTAGATGTGCACCTCGTATTTTGGTTGCAATCGGCCGCACCAAACGTATATAAATATATTTATATATCTATCCACTCTGTTACCCGGCTCAGTGATCTCAGTTTCTTCACTCTTATATGTTTGTAAATTGTACATTTTTTGCTTTAAAAATGATTGAATTATGTTGTTCTTATCTTCCGGTTAAGGTTTTTATGCCTTTAGTAAATCTGTATGCCATATTTTTAGAATTATGAATAATTCTAAAATTGTTTAAGTGCCGCTAAGCCTAATAATGTTTTTGATGGCGGCCATTGAACTTGTTTACATTTGAAACAGCAGGATAGCGGATTTGTTTCCAATCTAGAGAAACTTAGCTTCTCAACAACAAAGATAACGCCTTCATTTATTATTTAAATAATGCTTAATCCTTTCTGGAATTTTTTCGAGGAAATAAGCGTTTAAGATTTACTTCGTAATTTTTAATGCAGATATTTTGAGTTTTTATGTATTTTTGCCTTGTCGCGAAATGAGAACTTAATTAATTGAATGAGAAATATTTAATCGTCTGTGAAAAACCTGTTTTTCTTTTCTTTTTTGTCTTGTTTGCTTAATTTCTTTTATACATCGTTCTAGCTTTATTATTGTATTTGAATAGAACATGTGGCAACGATTAGATAATTCTTTAAATGATGTAAATTTTGTGCATTCTGAGTTATAATATGAACGAAATATAATACTGTTAAGTGAACCTAGCGCCAGAGTGTCGCTATGGTAAACAAAGTGAATTTTAAGAGACTGCATTTATTCTATTATGGTTTATGCCTGTCGAAGTAGGTTTAATTCAATCTAATAAGTTTAAATGAAATGCAAAAAAAATGCGTATAATTTAATATTCCGTACAAGGAAGTCATGTGGTGTCCACATCAGGTATTTTAATTTAGGAAAACAAATGCAAAACTCCTCGTGTTCCACAACATATGCCGCGAGGCTTACAGAAGTAAATAAATAACTCAGTGATCCACGACGTATGTAACAATATGTTGTACGTTACTTACCACAATGTATGTTGCTTAAAGAAATAAGTAAATAACTCAGTGATACAAAAAAGATGTAAACGAACAGTTATATGATGCAATAAAGCATAATATCTAGATCTGTAAAGAATAAGCAATATATATATAATAATATAACTGCTACTACATAATCATAAAAATAATAAAATACACTATAAGTTCTAAAGTTCTAGTTAATTTACGTGTCCTTGGCTACTAGAACTTTAAGGAAGAGTGTAGCGACTAAAATTATAAAGAAGTGTTCAAAGAAGGGTTAAAATACCCTTTTATTCACTCAGAAATAATACAGTTGGCCCCTTCTCGGGCTTACAGGAAAGCCACCACTTGGGCTTTTAACTTAAGATAGATTCGCCGGCCACTTTTACTCTAAATTAATTAAAATATGCAGACACATAGAACTTTCAGTTATGTAACTGTTTTGTAACTAGTTCAATTTATGCCCCCCTTTTTTTGTCCAAAGGGGCAATTTGCACAGAACGGCTATTAATTTATTAATAGCTAATTTTGGCATTTTAATGGCTATTTAATATTAACGGCTATTTTAGCACTTTGCATTAATTCACTATAAAACAACGGCGTTTCACTTTTCAGTTTGTTGCCACCAAATATCAGAGCCCTGCATTATACTTGAAAAAAATTAAATAAGAAAAATTTTGCACGTATGTTTCTCGCATTGTGATAAAACAACTGTACCTAGAGCCAATCAATTTTGAATAAAGGAATCCTCCATAGAATATGGGCATCTGGAAGCCCTAATTTGGAATTTGTTTTATTACCTATTTCATATTTTATAACACTTTAAAAGTTTTAATTAAGAAACTCGACGATTTCAAAGCGAGCAATGGCGACACTGTACGGGGGGGGGGAAATAATCTCTAGCGCTGGAGACTGTATATCGAAAATTTTAAAGAGATGCTCATTTTAAAATTATTTTGCGATGTTGCTGTTGAGTTAAATTTTATGGTTTAAGTGCAATAACACACAAAACGTTAAAAAATACGATCCAATGCGCGTATTTTTTTTTTTTTTTTTTTTTTTTTTTTTTTTTTTTTTTTTAAGTTTTTGGACTAGTTGTCGTTCTATGTCGTAGTTGTATTTTCTTAAATAAAAGCAAACCCAAAATTCCGATGAATATGAATTTCACTGTGAAATGTCTGCATTAAATTGATGATCGTTTATTTATTCGGAAGCTTATATTAAGAAGAAAGTTTTGCTAAAATATAAACTAGATTTCTTCGTACAACCGCGATATTTAATTCTGTTTCACTATGTTGCCAAGAGATGGCGAAACTGCTTTAATTACGTTTAAATTCGCTCGCAGAACCAGTCACAGTCAACAAAATTTAATTGAAAAAACATTTAAATAATTTTACTCTTCAAGCTTTTGGACTTATACAGGAAAGCAAAACTCAAGTAGATGTTAATTAATTATAGCCTCAGCTTCATTTATTCATCTTTCACAATAAATGACAAGAAATAAGAACAAAATGCAAAGATAGTGATACTAAACTGTTCATAAAAGTAAGGAACATACGAGTATAAAAAGGCACAAATACACAGAAGATGTTCACACATTTTTGTAACGATTTTGCAAAGATTTATATATGAAAAAATCTTAGAATATTATTTCGTAATATGTTCAGTTTGATAGGCCTTTTGTTGAACTATCATATGTCATCTTGGTTTCCAAGATAAAAGTCCTTTTCTAAAACATCAAGGTTGATTTTTTTTTCACTCCTCCCTTACAATCTTCCATAGCCCATCCAGTTTTTGGGGTGCAGCTTATAAAGAACTTGTTTTAAAATTCCAGATGCTCAGTAATCCATAGGAGACACATCAGAGGCTCGAGTGGGGTGTATTTAAAGAGAATAATTTCAATTCTGGTTTCATTTCTCATTTTCTCAATAAACGGAGCAGTAGAATTAGAGGTATGCCTCGGAGCCTTATCCTGATGGAACTTAATATAGTGAAGATTGTTTCAGAAAGGAATGGAATTTCATGTTTAAAAATAGGTGATAAAACGTATTTCTGTTAGTAATCCGAATTAATTTTGACATTTTTCTCTTCTTATTTTAAGTTTTCCGTTATAAGAATGAGTAAAAACCATAAAACCTTTAGAAAAACTTTCCTTGTTTTCTCTGAACCAAGATATTCAGTCTTTTCCTCCTCTTTTTTGGTAGTAAGGCGACATTTTTCTATTGTAATGTATCCAAGCCTCATCAATTTTTACTATATATTTCTATTTTTCACCTGCCAAATAATTTTCATACATCAATTTGCACATAGTCTGACGTTAAGAAACATGTTTCGCCGTTAAGCGATGAACATCATATTTTTTAAAATTTATTTATTTTATTTTTTTAAATATTTTTAATTTTTTAAATTTTTTATTTTATTTTATTTATTTTTTATTTTATTTGTTTATTTATTTAATATTTTTATTTTTTTATTTTTAATTTAATTTTTATTTTATTTATTTATTTATTTATTTATTAGTCCAAAGGGATTTGAATCCCGAAGGACTATTAGTTTCGTTTTGGCATTTTGCGTCGGACTCATAAATGTCGGTTCACTTTTTCAAACTGTTGCCACAAATGTTAGAGTCCTGCATTATATTTGAAGAAATTAAATAATGAAAAATCTGCATAAATGTATGTATATTTCTCGTATTGTGATAAACAACGGTGCATAGAGTCATCGAATTTTGAATAACGTAATCCTCCAACGAATATGAGCATGTGGAAGACCAAATTTGAAATTTGAAATTTGTTTTATGATCGATTTCCTATTTTTTTAAAACTTTGACGAATTTTTGATTAACAAACTCAAGGATTTCAAAGCGAGCAATGGCAACGTTGTGGCAGAAAAAATATTTTTTATCTCCAGCGCGTGAGTCTCTGTATCGGAAATTCTAAAGATATGCTCGTTTTAAAACTATTTTGCGATATTGCTGTTTGCACTGGATCTTATGGTTTAAGTGCGAGGAACATGATATTTAATAAAGAACGGTAACACACAAAATGTTAAAAAACGCCCCTTTGGACGTAATTTAAAATCTGAAACATTTCAGATTTTGTTTAATTATCTTTTTTTTATTATTATTTTTTTTATTAGCTTTAAGTCAGATTTTATGATTTTGTTCACAGTTTCTGCAGAGATATTTAAAGATTTGGGAAGCTGGATTTTCCTTTGAAACATTTATGCCTTTTTCCCAGTCAGATGTAAACTTTGACTTTCATATTGATTACGTCACTTTTGTTACGTGTGGAAATATTAAAATGCTTTTCACATCTTTTTGTAATAATTGAATAAGATTATTTTTCTTCAGACGGAGCAAAAATATAACCTTCGATTCATTGTTTCTTTTGCAGCGACATTTTAAAGAAAAAAAAATATTTTCAGTGCTGCAGACGATAAAGAAACCTTATTCAAATTTGATGCCAGTCACGTTTGTATCTTAAAATTAATATTTAAATTCATGGAGGACATCAAAATCGTTACAAAAATGTGTAAACATCCTCTGTGGAAGTTTCAAAAATAAATTGGCGATTTCAGAAATAATCTTTTGTCGTTAGAAAGCTTTCAAATGCGTTTCAATGTTGCTTTAATCACGAAGCAATTGCGTTAAAGTGCTGTAATGCCAGAAGGATTTCACTGTACGAAATATGCACTAATTTGGTAACTGTGCGTGACTCTGACTTTCAGTCAGCTGGGATTTCTGTGTAAGAAATGGGCTGTAGAATCTAGTGAATGAACTGGAGTCTAGTAGAACTGGAGTAGCAGGAAACTATACAGGAGAAAGGTTAAAGTAACCTTTATTAAATCTTTATCTATTTATTAAATCTTAATCTGGAAAAATTTACAATGCGTCAGTTCGATGCTCAGAAACATCGCCTCTACTTGGGCGGTAACTGAACGTCAGATAATTGAAACTTAAGTTGAAATATTAAGAATTGATAAAACTAGCCTACAGGGCTCAGCGAGATCCCGTAACTTTAACCCCCTTCTAAAAAAGCGACAGTAAAGCAATGCAATTAAGGGGACTCATACACCTTAAAACCCATAAGATCTTCGAATAGGTGACTGTTGCAAGAATTGGGATAACTTATTTATTTTAAAAGCAATTACTTCCAACTTTTTACAGCTGACTACATAATATAGCTGCTTTCTGAAATAGTCATCAAAAAGTTTGTGTTGCCACAAATATTTTTATAATTTCATCCGCTTTGTGACAACATTTTTCGTCATGTTTTCACCTTGCGCGCACAGTTTAAAATATTCTGTTGCATAATTTAATTCCATAATTAATATATAGCTTTTATAACACTTAGAAACTACTGTGAACCTAAAATTCTAAAAATTTCTTGTTAAATTTTTATTTTATTTGGAGTTGAGATTATAAAATGTATTTTATTAAAAAAATTTGTAATGTTTTCGTCCATAAAATTTTTCAGTATTAAATATTTATCATACTTTTGGTTCAGTTAGAAAATAGTGCCCATATAAATTCCATCCAATTTCAAGTATGTACCACTAGACATTTTTAAAATATCATGCGCGCAAGGTGGAAACATGGCGAAATATTTTGTCACAAAGAGGATTAAATTACAAAAATATTTGTGGCAACACAAACTGTCTGGTTACTAGTTTTCAAAGCAGCTATATTATGTAGTCACTTGTAAAACGTTGGAAGTAAGTGCTTTTAAAATAAATAAAATATCTCAATTCTTGCAACAGTCACATATTTGAAGATCATGAGGGGTTTAAAGTGTATGAGCCCCCTTAAGCCACTTGAACCAGCAATAAGCAAACGTACCTATGGCAGAGACGGTAGCTAAAGCCTGACTCTCCCTTTCAGCTACCGAAACTCGGCTTTTAACTAGTTCCTTCAAAGTAGAAAATTTGCATTCTTTCCGCGCGCTACAGTATTTAACTATTCTGGTACTGACAATTAGGGGAATGAAGGTTTACAGGAAAGGTCTAAACTCAAGCTTTAAATTGTTAGTTAAAATAAATATAAATCCCTCCAGCGCGTACAGGCAATTTGAAATCAAAATGTGAAACAAATGAAGATACTGGTTAACACTAGTTATATTATTACGGTACAATAATTGCATTAAAAATGTCTGCTGACTCAGTATACCTTCCGAGACGGATTGACTCCAAAGCTCTTAAGAGGTTATCACACATGGCTACAGTCCCTGTTAGACGGGACTTTTCTAAGAAACGAGATTCTGGTAGCACTGGTTTAAACGGGAGGATTCCTAGAAAAAGAGTCCCGCCTAACCACGGAAACAATGTTGCGGCTACGCGGGATTTTTTCAAAACCTCACCGAAAATGTGTCGGCTGGACCTCAGTCTTGGGGGCATATTTCACAAGTGCACATCTGTGTAGCCACCGAGGGTGTGGCTTCTAGGATGGACCAATAGGCATCCAGCAATATTTCTGTCATGACACATAACCTTTCGTGTGCTTTAAGATTTAATCAAAATGGTTGAAAATATTTTGCCACGTATTTTTCTGTACAAAATAATTAAAGTATCGTCGATTACTTCTGAAAGTTTTCATTGCGAAGTTAGATCAAATGTAACCGAATGTGAAGATTTCACTACTTGGTTGAAAGAATTTAAAATAAATACAAACACATTATGGATACTCCGCAAAAATATCTATGTGAAATATTACGTAATAAGTGGTTAATAAGATGAAGAAAGAAGTATGTGATAAACATGTGAGCCCAAATGCTATCTTTACATAAAACTATGCATATGAGAAAAATATTTACACCAATTATATACCGTATATACCCGCGTATAAGTCGAGATATTTTGTACAAAAAAAAAAAGACTTCAAAGTGGGGGGTCGACTTATACGCGGGGCCATAAAAAATTAAAAGAATCGAAGTTCAAAATTTCTTATATAATGCAGTTGTTTTCTTCCCCGCACTCAAATTGGACGACTTATCAAATAAGTCACTTACTTGAAGTAATTTCATGACTTAAATTATGTGACGAACTAATCACAGAGTTTCATACGATTAGCATACGATTCTTTTCGTGGACACTTTTCTGAAGAAGTGACAAAAGTTACTAAACACCTAAAAACGACTCCGTAATTTCCGGGAGGATTGACATCCGTCATTCAATCCCTAGATGTCTGCCTCAATAAAGCCCTTCAAAGTAAATGTTAGAAAATATTGGACAAGAGTGGACTAGTTCCGGTCGACTGACATTTACAAAGGGAGGCAACATTAAAAAGCCCGATATTACATTAATTTGCTCAGTGGGTTAAAGATGCTTGGAACGAAATACTTCTGAAATGATTATAAAATCATTTAAAAAATGTTGTATCAGCAACGAACTAGACGGCACGGAAGATGATGCTGTTTTTGAAAGTGAAAATGACGACGAAGGCTCTAGTAGTGATTGTAACAATACAGAGTTCGAGACTGAAATATGTACGATGACGACCAATGACGACAGAAGAGTTCTATGAAATGTTTGGCGAATCTGACCATGAATCGGATGTTGAAGGATTTTGATTTTGTTTATTTACCAAGGTATTTTTTATCGTATATTTACTTTTTTTTTTCTCAGATGATTTTGAATAAATGTAGTACTTAAAAAAATTTTTTTCGAAGTTTCTCGATCGATTTCGGAAGTGGGGGGTCGACTTATACGCGGGTTTCTTATTTTCTACGAATTTTTTATGTCGAAGTGGGGGGTCGACTTATACGCGGGTATATACGGTATGTAAATAGAAGTCAGCACTTTTTATTGCAGTCGATATGAAAAATTATTTAAGAAAAAAAAACTATACACTTGAATTTTTTTAATCCACAGGTGTTAAGTAAATGCATAATATTCGAGGCTAATTGTAGCTTGAATCATTTTCTCGCTGTAAGGAGGGATAATATGCCGTGCACATCAATCCAGATATTAATGCGTGATAAAAATCGCGAAAGTGAAATGTCAGCGATTAATTAAACTCATGAAACGAAAGCACTACGAGATTTTCTTCTACTACGCCATACATATTTTACCGCGAAACAAATGCAAATTAAAACGTAAACGACATGCCTGAAGATTTAGCATCGCAAGAGCAATAGAAGCTCATTGGTCCATTTTCGAAACCCCTCCCTCAGTGGCTACTCTGATGTGCACTTGTGAAATATGCGTCCCGGGTAGAGACAACCAATTAGACGAAAGTTCTGCTTCTGAAGCCTCACGTGATCCCAATCTGAGCAATAATCGATTAGTGTTTGGCGTTCAAGTCTTTGTAGTAAGTGAAAATGGTAACCTAGCTATATGGGTTTCCTGGAATTGTGCGGGTTCTGAGAATTGTCCCTTTCGACGTCAAGTCCCGCATAGCCGAAACATAATGTGATCGCGACTTTACGCTGTCTGAGTTCGTCGACGGTTTTTAGATTTCCCCTGTCTTTGTGTCATTATGATAGTCATCTGAGTCATTTAGGTTAGTTATAAAGTATTGCTCTCGCCTTCTTAGCATGCCTTCGGGGTGTAGTGGTCAGCACACTCGGCGCGTATGGAGAGGTCCGGCGAAGGCATTGCTCATTTTTCACGTCTTCTGCTTCGAAATAACCTAATGTCCTTACAGTGACAGCCGAACTAAAAAAAGGTGGTGGCTGATGATTCTCCACCACCAGGATTTGGGTCCCCTAATCCCCATTCGCCCTAGGAAAGGAGAGAGTATATAAGGTATTTCTTCCGCCTTCTTAGCATGCCTTTGTGGTGTAGTGGTCAGCACCCTTGGCGAGTATCAAGAGGTCCGTGGTTCGAGCCCCGGCAATGGAATTGCTCATTTTTCATCTCTCATGCTTCCAAAACACCTAATGTCTCTTCATAGTCATAAGAAAGAATTACTCGTTTGATGAAACATTGTCTCTAATTTGTAATATGTAACTGCATGCTTTATAAAAAGAATTAAAAAATTTTCTTATCTAATTGCATTAGGAAAACATTTTCTGGACCAAGTTTGGGAGGACTGCATTGCAGAGATGACAATACTGGAAGTTATAGACTACTTGAAGAATCCTCAGTTGTTGTTGTTCTTAGCCAGACACGGTGTTGACATAGTTAGAATAAATGCGACCTCGCAGATTCTCGGCCATGTTCTAAAAGATGTCTTATTGGATATTTCTCTGAATATTTTGAAGATTTTGGATGTCAGGCATATCAGGGAATACAGGAAAGCCAGGTGATTGTATTATCTCAATTTTAGCTTGCGTAATTTTTCTCAGTTTTAGCTTGCGTAATTTATCTCAATTTTAGCTTGCGTAATTTATCTCTTTTAGCTTGCGTAATTTATCTCAATTTTAGCTTGCGTTATTTACTTATGTGTATGTATAGCCCAGTCCGCTCAACTAGAGCAGAGTCTGATTTTAAGGCTGACATAGGCTGATCCATACAAAAACACGAGGACAAATAAAAAATTTAAAACATAAATCAGAAAGTTTTCAGATTTTATATTACTCCCGAAAGGACGTTTATTTAACAGTTTGTGTGTTACCTTCATTTACTAAATATCATGTTCTTCGCACTTAAGGCATAAAACTCAATCAAACAGCAATCTCACAAAATATTTAAAAGCAACATACCTTTAGAACTTCCGATACAGAGTCTCGCGTGCGAAAGATAAAAAATGTTTTTTTTTTTTTTTTTTCCTGTACATTGCTCGCTTTGAAATCGTTGTGTTTGTTAATCAAAAATTCGTTAAAGTTTCACAAGATGTAAAATAAATAATAAAACGAATTCCAAATTCCATGCCCATATTCCAGTGGAGAGCTACTTGTTCAAAATTTTATGTCTCTGTGTATGGTTGTTTTTTCACAGTGAGAGAAACTTACATATATTCATGCAGATTCTTCATTATTTAATTTCCTTATATATAATGGAGTGCTCTAATATTTGGTGGCAACAATTTGAAAAGCGAAACGCCGTTTTATAATGGACGACGTAAAATGCCAAAATGAAATTAATAGTCCTTCTGGGCAAATTTCCCCTTTTTATCTCCTGGAACTACGCAGCGTTCCAAAGGACAAAAATAACACAAAATAAAAGAAATAAATGAAAAAAAATTAACAATAGGAATTGAAGCAATAGCTCCAGTTAATATTTAAAAATTTTAAGCTTTTAACACTAGAAAATAATCAAATATCGACCAGTATACAGGACAGGACAGGAACAAATACAGGGAGAACCATATCATCGCTATGGACAAAAATCACTTTTGAAATTGCTCCCACCAAATATTATCGCCCTGTATTATATTTTAAGAAATTAAATAATGAAGAATCTGCATAAATGTATGTATGTTTCACACACTGTGATAAAACAACGGTACTTAAAGCCATGAAATTTTGAATAAACGTACGTCTCCACCCGAATAGGGGCAAATGAAAGCCCAAATTTTGAATTTTTCAATTATCTATTTCGTATTTTGTACAGCATTTATGAGTTTCTGATTAAGAAACTCAACGATTTCAAAGCGCCCAATGGCAACACTGTACAAGGAAAAAAATTTTTTTCTCCAGCGCGTGAGACTGTGTATCTGAAATTCTGAAGATATGATCTTTTAAAATTACTGATGTTGCTGTTGAATTGAATTTTATGGCTTTAAGTGCAAAGAACATGATATTTATTAATTAAAAGTAATACACAAAACGCCCCTTTGGGCGTAATATTTATAAAATCTAAAAGCTTTCCGATTTTTTTACTTCCTTGTACGAAGTAAAAAGGAAGTATTGTAATTGTGAAAAGTTTCAGGCAACATATTTCAACGAAAATATCCATTTTGACCGCTAACGAATGCAATTTAACGATGTTTTTACGTGATATCTGTACGTAAGGACAGAATAAAAGACTCTTTTCCTCCAAAAAAAAAAAAAAATTATAAATCTTCTTTAAAATTAATTCTGAAGAGAATTTTTCGTGGCATCTGTACGAACGTATGTACGTACGTGCGTACGTACGTATCTCGCATGACTCAAAAACGAGTAGCCTCAGAACGTTGAAATTTTGTATATAGGACTGCAATAACATGTAGATGTGCTCCTCGTATTTTGGTTGCAATCGGCCGCCCAAACGTATGTGCAAAATTTTTAAGACCAAATAGGCCTTACAACCAATTAATTATTATCTTTTCAATTTCTATTTCAATATATTTATATATATATCCACTCTGTTACCCGGCTCAGTGATCTCAGTTTCTTTACTCTTTTATGTTTGCAAATTGTTCATTTTTTGCTTTAAAAATGATTAAATTATGTTGTTTTTATCTTCCGGTTAAGGTTCTTATGCCTTTCGTAATTCTGGAAGCAATATTTACACAATTATCAACAATTTAAAAGCTGTTTAAGTGCGGTTAAGTTTTAAATAACATGTCTGACATATTTGTTTATATTTGAAACAGCAGAATTGTAGATTTGTTGTCAATCTAGAGAGACTAAGCTTCGCAACACAAAAATAACGCCTTCATTTATTATTGCAAATTAAATCATGCTTAATCCTTTCTGGATTTTTTTCGAGGAAATAAGTGTTTAAGATTTACTTCGTAATTTTTAATATAGATATTTTGAGTTTTTATGTATTTTTGCCTTCTCGCGAAGTGAGAACTGAATTAATTGAATGAGAAATACTAAATCGTCTGTGAAAAACTGTTTCTTTTCTTTTCTGTTTTTTTTTTTTTTTTTTTTTTTTTTTTTTTTTTTGCTTAATTTCTTTCATGCATCGTTTTAGCTTTATTATAGTATTTGAATAGAAAATGTGGCAACGATAATTCTTCAAATGATATAAATTTTGTGCATTCAGAATGCCGTTATAGTAAACAAATATAGTGAATTTTAAAAAGTGCATTTATTTTATTGTCGTTTATGCGCTGTCGACGAAGTAGATTTAATTCAATCCTATCAATTTAAGTGAAATTCAAGAAAAAAATGCGTATAATTTAATATTCCGTACAAGGAAGTCATGTGGTGTACACCTCAGATTTTTTTTATTCATTAAGAAGTTAATTCTGTTTAAAATGTTCTCTTAATATGTATTCTTTTCTTTCCTTTTTTGAAGGTATTGGCAAAGAATCCATCGGAAAGCCGCTATGCTTCAAATTGTATTGCTAACCATCCCTTACGCAGACTTTTATTTCGCAGAGCAGCAGTTAGCACGATTCAACATTCCTCTTACAAATATCGTACGATTAGTAGGCAGATATCATGTACTGCCCGCTCTTTTTAATCGCTTCAAGCAGCCTCCACCGTTAAAACATTTGTCTAGATGTGCTGTGCGAGGCCTTTTACATTCCAATTTTCAGTTGCCAAGAGGAATATTTGATTTACCAATCGAAGATGATCTGAAAACTTATCTTGATTTGATGCTGGATTAAACTTGCATACTTATCGATATCTTCTAAGACTACATACATAAAGGAAAAATAAATATGTCTTATAAATATTTTGACTTACGTTTCATTTTTATAACCGTAAATAAAACGTACGTATAAAATTTAAGGACTCGTTGATTTTGACAATTACGAACTCCATAAAATCTCGAGATAAATACCCATTAATACTTTAAAAAGAAGAAATGTCTGGTTTAAAATACTGTTACGAAACGCCCAGCCGCGGTAAGATAGCTTCTCCGCAAAACGGGTTTAGGGTTGCCAGAAAATGACAAGCAGCAGAAAATGAAAGCAGGGTTATCAGATTTGACGCGAAATTGCTCATTTGCGATATACCACAGTGGTGGGGAAACTTTTTGCGACTGCTTGCCCAAAATGGAATGGCCGCATGCCATTCCGTTTAAGATATGAAATTAGAATTATTCTGTAGTTACCTCAAAATGCGTAGATCTGAAAACTGGAATTTATCTTTTTATCTAATTATTAAAACTCACCGGAAGTCTGCAATAAATTGGAATTAATCTACGAAACATTATCTGCTTCAACTTTGGGGTATTCTTTCTGCCATGTAACAGGTAATATGATTGGCCTAAGCAGTTGAAACGTCTTAAATAGGGTAAATAAATATGTATATCATTTCTATGGCGATATATGAAAATCTTATATCTAGGCTTAGGCCCTATGGCAGTGGCATTATGCGATAAGTAAATAAGTGAAACGTTCAAGAACAGACTAAAACACTTATTTAAATTACACAGTATCATTTTATTATGATTATTGGTTAAGGAAGTAATATTTCAGTCGCGTGCCGGCTAACGAGGCTCGGGGTGCCGACTGTGGCACGTGTGCCATAGGTTCTTCGTCATCCCTGCCATAGACGGAGCGAGAACATTCTGGAACGAATTCTTTTCGGTTTGCCCCAGAAGGTTCTCGAAGACAGGTCAAAAGCTATATAAACCCTGCTTGTATAGGGAGTAGCGTTCTATCGTTGAAAAGTATCGTGAGTTTTATCGTGAAGAGTATCTTGTGTGTGTTGAGTATCTTGTGAAGAGTATCTTGAGCTCCGAGAGTGATCGACGGAGTCGGGAGCTGTACTCTAGTGCTTTACCGTGAAGCTGTCTTCACCGTTATAGCCTGATAGACCGAAGGCTGTGCTGCTGATTGTTTCAGCGTGTTTAACGTAGTCTTTTTGACGACCGTTAACGTGTTTTTGGAAATGTCCTGAATAATACTGGCTAATAAATTGTATTTTGATTCTTCATCATGAGTTGTCATTAATCTCTCTAATTCCACGAAGTTGTAGAACGCAGCAATACTTTGCTGTGTCTCCAAAACTAATTTCTTGACCTTGTAGAGATATTAGTATATTTTTTTTTTGGAAGCAGGAAAGATGAAAAATGAGCAACACCTTCGCCAGGAATCGAACCAGGTACCTCTGGAATACGCGCCCAGCGTACTGACCACTACACTACGAAGGCATGTTAAGAAGGCAGGAGAAATGCATTACATACTGCGCCTGTTAAAGGGCGACTGGGGTTTAGGGGACCGAATCGCCAAATCCTGGGTGTGGAGGATTATCATCCACTATCCTTTTAGTTCGAGCGCCAATGTAGATATATTAGGTTTTTTTTTTTTTTTTTTTTTTTTTTTTTTTTTTTTTTCGGGGGGGGGAAGTAGTTAGGATGAAAAATGAGCAACTCCTTCGCCGGGAATCAATCGAATCACGGACCTCTGGAATATGCGTCCAGCGTGCTGACCACTACACTACGAAGCCATGCTAAGAAGGCTGGAGAAATACCTTTATAAACTAATTTAACCAGCTGTCGCTTTGTTGCTTTCAGTTTCACCTAGGGCGCTGTAATCACCTTCAAATAACAGATATATGAAGTAGTGGAAGAAATTTAGGAACAGATTATGAATATGTTGAACAACTGGAGAAAAATGCCTTTCAGAAAGCATTATTTAAATAACAGGATTGCTTTGAGATCTGCATCAACAACTAAGGGGATTTTGGGAGAACAACGACCATTGAAATTACAAGATAATTTGTCACATTTTGTATTATCACATTCCTACAAGAGACCTTTTGGACTGTCAAATAGGGTTGGTTCGCACAAAACATTCTTTACACAATTTCTTCATAAAGTGCGCAAAATGTGAATAACAAGGAAGTAATTGTGAACAAACCCAAATTTATTTATAGGACCTGAGTGAAGCTTAAAACCAAAATATATCATATTATTGAGGGAGTCCTAAATTACAACGGTCATTAACCAAGGCTGGGGATTTCGAACGATATAAAATGTAATGATATGGATTTTCAAATCAGTATGTAAGATTTGGGATTATCAGATAAAAACAGCTCAAAGTACTGATTTGTAAAGAAGAGTTTTGTTTTTACTGAGACAGTGGGCTTTCCCAGCTACATAACGGAAGCTAGAGCAAACGGGGCCATATGGCAAGTAGAAAAGTTATTCCGCTTATGAAATTTCCAGGTTTATACCGAACGGAACAATAACATCAATGGAATTTTAGAAATTACGCCATCTAACGAGTTCATAAAATAAGAAAAGCAGAAAAAATAATTTGTAGGAGAGGTGCGAAAGAAGACACTTTATACACCATTTTCAAACTGCCTTGCTATTTTTCTTGCACTTTTACTGATTAAATGTAAAATATTAAATTATTTTTATCAATAATTATATTTATTATTAACTAATTAGTATAAATTAACCTTATAGTTTATGCAGAGTAATATTTCTATACTAGCAGCTACGATGCCAGCCTTCGTCTGGCTTTTAAATGTACCGGAAAAATGCCTCAAAGGCATGCACAACGGCGCAAAATCTTACTCTACAAAACAACTTCATTAAAAAAAAATAAATTTAAAAAAAAAAAAAAAAAAAAAAAAAAAAAAAAAAAAACCCTTTTCATTGCCTTCTCTCAACAAACGTCTAGTATTCAAGAGAAACATTAAATTTAAAAACTGCACACAATTATAGCCCTCATTTTTCCAAGCGGCAACAGTGCTGATTTTCAGCAGTCAGCAGTCCAGTATACGAGGGCATTTCGAAAAGTAAAGATACACCGTACGCCAGAGGAAAGGAAAAGTTTTGGTGAGCAAGTTGGCAACACAGGTGTTAACCTTGAACCGTTAGCTTTCTCCTCGCGGTCATTCGGCATTTCAAGGTTGATTCTGGTTGGAGTAGGTCGTGTTTAAAATGGCTACGCCGATTCAGAATCCCGCCAAATGCGAAGTGCGCTCCAACATATGTTTTCTTCATGCAAAAGGTCAGCGACCAGCGGATATTCACATCGAAATTGTTTCTGTTTATGGGAACATTATTAATCGACAAAATGTAACGAAATGTTGTCATCATTTCTCTGAAGATAGGACCGATGTTCATGAAGACGAACAAAGAACAGGTCGGCCATCTGTGATCTCTGATGCCCTTCTTTAGAGTAAAGAGGAAGCAGTTCCTACGAATAGACGTCTCAAATTGAAAGAATTGCATCAGATCATACGGAAAGTGTCAATGACAACTCTTTATGAAGTTGTGACTCTCAAGTTAGGGTACAGGAAATTGTGTGCGCGCTGGGTTCCAACAGGCGGCAACCTTCTATGACTGTGGGATACAAAAGCTTGTGCACCGACTTAACAAATGTTTGGATAATGGGGGTGATTATGTCGAAAAATAATAAATAATCCAGTTAATAAGATGTAACTGACGTTTTCTAAATAATTTTTTTAAGGAATGCGAGCCATTGTATCTGTAATTTTCGAAATGCCCCTGTACATTTGAATGAAAAACTATTGCCAAAACCACATTTCCAAAAGAATGAAAGTATTCAAAATGATGCGATTTCATCAAAAAAGATAAAATAAAAAAATCTGATTCGAATTTTGAAAAAAATCGCTTCGAGATGCACTGGCTCTTGTCTAATTGCACCCATATATCAAATTTCGTAGCCCTGATCAATTAGCTTACGCGCAAAAACGAATACACACACGAACGAAAGACACACAGACTCTTTCTTTTATTATATGTAGAGATTTATAATATTATATAACTGTAAGTTATATTCTGTATTATTCGTTTATTCATTAGGTTTCTTAATTTTAAACAAACATAAGCATCAAGTAATCGTCACACAATGGCTGCATCAATTATAAATCCCATGAAGACAGTCAAATGATTTCTCATTGCGAGAATTATCTTCTTTTTAAGTTTGTACATATTGCATGTAGCCATTTTTTTAGTATCTCTTGAATTATACTTTCATTTTTGCAATTTTTGTATTGCAACTTCTGAATTTTGAAGATCTCATCGCTCGCCTGCTTCATTCGCATTTCACGTATCTACTTCACATTTGTACGCATACACCCCTCCCACTCATGCCTCTCAGATTGTTCTCTCCCACACTCCATTGTAGTCTACTTTACGCTACTCATTTGCTGTGGTCAGCATCACCCTTGTTCATTATCTTCATTTTGTACTCATCCTGAACTAGCACAGCCATGTGCTACTGGTTGACTTTATCTCACTGGCCTAACGTCTACCAGCGGCAGAGCGGTAAAGTCTCTGAACACTGGTAGTTCACACCGGAGTGCGAATCCCGGGAATGGGCTGATTGCATTGGCATTTTCCACGTTAACGCGTCTACGAGCTAGTTTCCCTTGGAGAGTCCTACACGAAGGTACAGGGATTGGACAAAATCATGGAATCACCTTTAAAAAAAACATGTTTCTTTGCTTAATATGGTGTAGGAAACCCGTTGGCATCCAAAACAGCTTGCAGTCTTCTCGGAATGGATAAATACAGTTCCTGTATGTTTGCCAAGGGAATATTATACCATTCTTCCTGCAAAACGGTGGCAAGTTCAGATAACGATGTTGGCGGTGGATAACGAGAACGCTCTTTCCGTTCCAATCTAGACCACAAAGGTTCGATAATATTCAGGTCTGGTGACTGTGGTGGCCAGGGGAGATGAAACAACTCATCCTCTTGCTCAGAAAACCAGTCCTGGACAATGTGAGCTGTGTGAACAGGGG